TTGTACAGGCATATTATCGTTTAGAAGGGATTTTGATATTTTTTTGGTCTTATTCGCTCTTGCTCACCAAACTTATCTTATTTAGTTTTGTATTGTGAGTTTTGGTTTTATGCTTTGAGCTTAGCTGTAAAAAGATCTTTCAAAATTTAAAAATTCGCTTATTCATTTTCTACTTCCTCGCTTAGTGCATCTAGAAAAAAGAATAAGAGGAAATTTATACGTTAAGGTTTAGGAAAGTGAAACAGCACAAAGTTTGATGAGAGCGTATTACCCAATCACTGATAAACAGTTGCTCATATGTTCACATACTATTAAGTTCTTCTATTCCATACCCACCGAGATGATCCCATTTGATATCTGTGGTTCCTGCCAGCTGACATTGATCTGATTTCTCCAACCAATTGCACGTACATCCCTTGGGGCACTCCCCGGGCCTAGTACACGCACCTCAATCTCAGCTGTCGCATTACCGTCTTCATTAGAGGCAACGCACGCGGCGAGGCCTGATTCTCGTATACTGGTCCTTGTCAGGGTTGAACTAAAATAAGCATTCATCACTTTTATGCAAAAAGCTGGTACTGCGGAACTGACACTGAACTCCTTTCAGATCGCTCCTGCCGCGTAGACCATCCCTCTCTTTCGGATTTTATTAACGCTTCATTCCAATACCAACTTATATCCGGTGATGGAAATCCTTCGGCGCGACATACGATGGATAAGGTGTCGAAAAGGTTTGGCTCCCTTTCAATCATAGGGGCGCCTTCAATTTCCGCTCTAGTTTTGAGCCCTAAACTGTAGAGCTGTTCAAGCAAGGTACGAACATGGCATAATTTCCACAATGGGAAGCCCTATAATTGCGGTTGAGTTGCTTACTCCCATCTCCCGTTCGAAACCACCGCGGTTTTGATGCCTGCACGAATCGGGTGGGATTATCCAAAGATGCAGTGATTTTCACCCAGTACATGCTACTTCGAGCCAGTCGTGTTCCATCTATGGTCATTGTAACCTGATCGAGAGGAAAGTTTGACAGATTGAAGTAATGAGAAAATCGTGGGATCATTAAGTTACTTGGGAAGTCATCTCATCTATAGAAGTATTGCTTGCATTGACAGGATGCCATTTAGCGCTGAGAATGTCATCAGACTGAGCCATCTCAATTTTGTAGCGCTGAACAATACGTTTTGGGTCTTTTTTAGAGAAAAAATACCTCTTTTTACCCCTATTGCATTTGAATGATCGTCCGGATCTCTAACAGCTGAGAAGGTGATAGTAAGGGTATTATCTTCCGCAACACTTGTCCTAATATCCGTGGGTATGGGAAGCTCTGAATTCAAAAAAAAACTAGGCATTTCTTTATCGCAAGTCTTTTCTTCTTTAGTTTAAAATTGTGCTTACGGGAATGGGTATTGCAAACTAACCGGAGTGGGCAGTTTCGAATTCTTTTGTTTCACTCACAGGTCCTTCTGCAACGTCATTTTTTGCACTGACTCTGACGC